ATGAGAGCTAATCTTCAGGAAAGAGGCTTCCAGGTCAATTCCAGCACTATTTCTCCAACTCCTGTGTCTGAAGTTGATGATGTTTTTAACAATAGGCTCTTATCTTTGACTTCAGGGAGGCAACCAAGGGTGATAACAAAAGGTTATATTGCCCTGGATAAGGAGCTATGGGTAATCTATGGGTGTTGTGAAATAATCAGTTTTCTTTAGAGAGGAGACTCCCGATAGGTTATTCAGTCCCAGTTTGTCAACCTTAAACATTTGTGAAGATGAAAGTCATCAAATCCTGTAGAACTGGAGTTACAGACAGTTGCAAGCCACCTTTAGTGGATGATGGGAACCAAGCCCAAGTCTTCTAAAAGAGGAATATGTACTCTTAAGTGCTAGTACATCTCTCCAGCTCTATTATCCTTTTAATACAAGAAACTTATACAAGAGGATGAGGGTCTTCAGTTCAAGTCTTTTAAATGATTCATTTCTAATGTTTATGGGTTGAATAGTAGTATCCTCAAAGAATTTTCAAGCATGTTTCTGTTGGCATTAAGTAATACAAAGAAGGAAGCCACTGGACTCCATCCAGCTGCCTGGTCAAGTAGGCATCTGGAGCCTGGCACCTAGAAGTGTCAGAGGAGTAATAAAGAGGAGCAAGTGACAGAACTTGTACAATGCTTTTGGACTTTTTCATTCTTAACATTGCTCATACACCTATAGCTGTGTTCTGCATATAGATGAGAGGTTCTGTTGCAAGCCCTTGGGCATTGCACACATACCCCTGCCACCCTTAGTGCAATGGAGAATGTGACTTTTCTAATGTCCTGTGATTATCAGAGAATTCATGCTCCTACTTAGGTACAGCTTGGCAATTTCAGAATACTGCACACTTTTGATGGTTTTACAAAGTTTTTTTTCACATTAATATTCTCTTTTTGATAAGCATAGAAATCTCAAACCCACATGCTACCTTCAGAATTCCCCAAATATTCCTAAACATTAGGTCTTTAACAATGATACACTTAAATACCTAAAACTCACTACATCATCAACTGGACTTCCTCCACACTACAGGAATCACAGCATATACCTGTATGTAACTTTCTCTATAGGAAATATCTTTTATACCTAAGCAGCATTCCTGTCTTACTTATTGTTCAGGTTTATTAACAAATGCAGAGAGTGTTTCAACATTAAAACTTTTCTAAATTTTAGACTCTTATTTGCTCTATTTCTTAGATGATGGTTGGGGGAAAGAGTGAATGGATTAATTATCCCATTATTTCACATCTCTATCTGAATACTCTTAG